TTTTGTTTCTTCTGCATTATGCAACAGATGTGGGTAGAGGGAGAGGAAACAAGAGCATTGGAACTTTTGAATTTTAGCCCCACATCACCATGGATAGCCAAACCACTAACTTCTAACAGGTCATAAATGAAGCATAATGTGGTCAACAATAGTAAAATCAATAGAAGACCAAAGTATTTATTCCAGAATTGAATATCTTACAGTGCTCCCACTGATAGCCACACTATAAATTTAACAATATTCATTTGAAAGCTAATTTTTTTTAACTGAAGAGGAATAAATGTTTTTTTATTAATTCATTTTATTCATTTCTGGATTGTGAAGTACATAAATTAAGTAGATCCACAGTCTGCTCACATATTTCCAGTAAGACATCCTTGAATGATTGAATATCTCAGGAGACTGGTAATCACATTTATGAAACCTTTCACCTTTCACTGATTCAAATATAGCCAAGATGCAGCAGTGATGGAAAATCATTGCCATTTGAAAGCTGGTTGGTGGCTTATGTGAAAAAAGCTAGTTATTTCAGTACATTTCTTAGTGATCAAGGGACAGAACCTGCAAGATGCTCAGTACCCTCAACTCCCATTGAAATCATAGGAATTGAGAGCGCTCAGTACCTCTCAGGATCGGACCACAACTGCCCAATTATAAAGCTATCACCACAATTGGCATCTTTAAGGATAATATCAGCACAGAGGACAACAAACAAGGGTTCAGTTCTGACAGAAGCTCAGCAAATTTTCCTCCAGATGCTGAATACTGTGCATACTGAATACTGTACTACTCAGCAGCTTGCAGGATCATGGAAAGTAAACAATATCCTCTTCTCTAGCATTGGACCCTACAATAGAGTTGAGGTGCACTGGTGGAATAATGTGGAATGTTTGCACTGCTGCTAGCCAGCATATATTTGTGTGAATAAACAGAAATTTTCATTTTTTATTCCTGCTAATCTGGCACTTTTCACCTGCAGTGAATATACTTAATTTAAAAGCAAAAAAATTAAGATAAAGATACCACAAAGAAAAGATTGTGCTTTTCCAAGGATCTCTTAATGAGAAGCTATATACTTTTGTTAAAGAATAGGCAACAAGCATTTCGATATTCTAGAAATGTTCTATGGCAAGAAAAATTTAAAATATTTCAGAAAAAAATGTCTGATAATTGTCACAACTGGTTACTAAAAAAAAAAAGAAAAAAAAAGTTCCCTCTTTTCCCCCCGCGATGGCTTTAAAAGTTTTTCTATCTATAAAATTTCTTTTACATAAAGACACTTCTCTTCACAAAGGATACATTTCTTTGTGGGAAAATGTACACCATCATTTCGCCTTAAATACTTATTCAGAATGCTTAATGTATCATATTACGAGCTTCCCAGAAGAAAGAAAACTGTCTTAATTAACAAAATGTAATGTCATCTCACCTATATACATTTCTTCTCTGATGTCACATTTGATTCTATTAGTTTAGAACTTTGATAGAATTATTTTCAAACTTTGCTTGTTACAATGGCACAGGGCAGGTTTTGAATTATTTAGCTTACTACTGCATTCTGAAAGCAATTTTTTTTTTTAATTTCATATCCTCTATGGAAAACTTGTTAAAAAGAACAAAATACAATAACTAGATGTAAAAGAAAAATCACACATAACTATGCAATAACCTGACCTTAGAAAAAAGGTAAGGTCTTTGGGTATTCAGTGGACAATAAAATGTTTAAAGTAATTAAGACAAATAAAGTTATGCCTAGTTTGAATATACTTACACACTGAATAAAAACAAGTTAAATACAATACATAATTTATTTTAAAAGTCTTTCAGATATATAAATATTCAAGATGTAATCCTGCCTCCATTGAACTCAATGGCGAAACTCCAACTGATATCAGTGAGGCCAGGATTTCACTTTAAGTGAAAAATACATACATTTATGAAGTCTAACTAAATATGTCAGAAATCTTCTGTTATCTAATTACATTAGCTCTACACTTTCTGCCTCTTAGATCCTGGTCCAATGCTCATTAAAATCAATGGGAATCTTTCCACTGGATCAGGCCATTAATGCTCTGATAATTATTGATCATCTTATTTTCCAACTTACTTTCTGCCTTTTCGTCATCTACCGTCCCCTAAATATTAGATTTCCCCCCATTTTCTTATTTTATGTTTCAGTTTTACCTCTATAAAAACTGAAATAAGTTTATTGTGTTAATTAATATAAAGTATCTTCAGCTGCAGTTCCCCCAAACTGATCACATTTGTCTTTCTGTTAATTAAATATTACAAATTAAGGGTATTTTTAAAAGCCTACACTTGGAAACAGCTGTTCTCCAGCCTGATTAAATGCAACAAGTCCCTTCATATCAGAAATGTAAACCAAATGCTTCTATTTTCAGAAACATTTTACTCCCATAACCTAAATGTAGTTTTATTGGTGTGACATAGGAAACAGTCATTCAAAGTCTTATCATTCCATTTACAGGGTCCAATCTTCCAACCTATATAAGCAATCTTTATTTACCAAAATTACTTCAACTGAACTAGTTGGGTGAGTAAGGACTATTTGTTTGAGGTAAAGGTTTGCAAGATCAGGCCTAGGATATCCCAGTGTCATGCACCAGATAAATCCTGATAGCCATAGTAATGGAAATAAGAAAGAAAATCCTTTTATGTTGCAGTTCTTCAAGAGTGGTTAGCAGAAATTTACCATATAGCACTCGGTCCTGCTCCCATTAGTCAGTGGGAAATCTCAAATTGATTTCACTGGGAACAGAATCATGCCCATAGTTATCTTAGGAAAATTTACCTAGATTCCCACAAAGAATTCAGAGATTTTTTCCACCAGAAATTTAGTTTCTCATTAAAGGAATGGGTTTTTCTAATCATCATCTCTCTTCTATTAGCCTACAAGACCCCTATTTCAAGATTGGACTTTTTTTTGTTATAGATAATGGTTATTTGCATTACTGTTTGTTCTTTCATGTATTTATCCTATACACATATATGTAGTCTGTTTACACATGCATTGTACTCATAAGATCTACTCATGTATTTTTTCTAAAGAAAAGTAAAATGCGCTTAAAAAAATGTAACTTGAACTAACATGTCACAGACCCAAATACTATTTAATCCTAAAATGTCAGGAAAAAAATCCAAATAAATTTGTACTGCTGGAAAAATAAGAGCCATGTACCAATCCCGAAGCCTTTATTCAGTTATCATTCATAATTTTCCCACTAATGACAATGAATGATTAAAAGGAGGTTACTTCATGATATGGCCATGTAGCAATTTCATATCAGTTTTTGACAACCATCTTAGCCAAATGCCACAAAATGTAAATGCTGTTTCCATATTTTTTTTTCTGAAAATAGGATAGAGTAAACTGAAATCAGAATAATAGCTTTTCATTTACAGCTGTCTGGAGCTTGAAGGGGGAAGGGCAGCAACATTAAAATCACCATTACGGATTACAGATTGACATCTCCATAACAACCCATAAATCTTATTGTTCTGAACTACCAACAACTTCCTCTCTTTACCTACAACAATATAGAAGTGATCAAAACTTACTGATGATTCTTGCACAGATTTCCTCACATACCACAAAACGAAAACGCATATTTAAGTGTATAGTACATAAATGCTAAATCAGTGGAAATCCATATAATTTTCCTTCCAAAATACTGTGTGCTATTTATGTTTAATGGTGTCAGAATCCCTTTTCCCATTTACAATCCAGAACTGCCTTGCTGCATTACTGAGTGGTATCTCCAGGAAAAAGCACATGTGTAACAGTTCAAATTTTTTTTTTCCCCCTAAGTGGTAAAACACCTAAACCCCAAAGCAGGAATTATTGCAGAAAATGTCATGTTTCCTACCTCTTTCAATCTTCACCATTATCACAACATGTTCTGAGAAAGGGAGGGTGAAGATTTGCTGCAATTCTTATATTCATATTTATCAGGGTATTTTGGAAAGTGTCAAGGAGTTGCTCACTACTACTACAATAAGTACAATTATTTATATCTCTAATACTGCACTGAACCAGAGATCCTATAGAAAAGAAGAGGGAAAAGACTACTGCCATAACAACCCTACAACAGAGAACTGTTGGGATACTGATAGTTACTGCACAAGGTACTGTGCATCATTAAATATAAAAGCAGAAAATGCATTTCAGCAACAGAAACCTGCTATGATTCTCCCTCTCTCCTCTGTACAGTGAAAACAAAACATGGACTTCTGCTGGCTGCATTTTCATTTTGGCTGAAAAGTTCATTTTTGCCCTCTCCTCTGTCCAAAGAGCCAGCACCCTACCTTACCTTCACCAAAACTACATTTAGATCTCCTCTCTCCAGAGATGTGTGTGTTGTACAGAGAAAAGGTCCACGGCTGAACTAGGCAAGTCCTGTAATTACCCCAACAAGGCAGCGGGTATTTAGGACCCTCTTTAAGAGGCATCATGGAAGGAGGAGGGAAAGGGACAGAAGAATGTGGGGAGAAGGCGATATACTGACTCGACTGAGCTAAACCTCCAACGCCGCCCCCCCCCAAGAAAGTTAAAGACCTTTAACCAAGCTCCAATATTGACAGAGTGACACCCCCACATGCACACCCCCCAGGAGAGGGCGCAGCACATAGTAATTCCAGGGTGCTAGGATGGGCGGTGGGGAGAATATTGTGGTCTCCGTGTTTCTCCGGGGGGGATGAGTGGGAGCGGAGCCGGGTCTAGGTCAGGCAGAAGGGGATGCACGGGCAGGGTGCACGCCCGGGAAGGGGGTGAGGCTCAGAGAGGCAAGGCGGCCCCATTGGGGGAGTGCGGGGCACGCTGGGGGGCGGGGGTTGCAGCCGCAGGGGCTGGCTGGGGACACAGTGGCTCCGGGCTGTGGGGGGCGGGAGGGGGGTCAACGAGGTGAAACGCTGCTCGCAGCCCGCGTCCAGGGGGCGCAGCAGGTGCGCGCGGTGGGGGGGGGGCTGCCCCGGCTACTCACCCGTGCAAGGCGGGAGCTGGAGGCGGCGCGGCGGGGGCGCTGCCCGCGGGGCCGCGGGGCAGGAGCAGCAGCGGGAGCAGGGGGGAGCGGCGGAGCCCGGGCTGCTCCTAGACGCGCTCTCGCTGCCCATCCCAGGCGCTGCCGCCGCCGCCGCCGATGCTGCTGCTGCTGCTGGAGGAGGCGGCGGCGGCGAGGGAGACTCCGGCGCGGGCGCGCGCGCGCTGGTGGGAGATGGGGGGGAGAAGCAAGGCCGCTTGCTGCCCCCCCTGCCGGGCTCTGTGTGCTGCGATCGCCTCCCTGCGCGCCACCCCCACGGGGCTGGAGCGCACCCCCCTACGGCTGGGGGACCATCAAACGCCGCCTGGGGGGGGGGAACCCGTTAGCCTCTATCACCCCCCTACTCCCGGCCACTCCGCGGGGAAGGTCGTTCCTGTGAAGGCCAGGGAGAGTCCTCCCCCCCACCCCAGCTCCAGGGCTAGCAGCAAGCCAGGGCTACCTAAAAATGCAATGAGGGGAGGAGGGTCCCCCCACCCCACATGTGATCACTGCGGCCGCGTTTGCCTTGACCCTGCAATCTGCCGGGGTGAGGGCAGCTTCACCTCCAGCCGCCCCACATCAGCCCGCTCCAGCATCATTCAGCTGGAAAACAAAAACGGGCATGCAGAAAGCACATAAGAAAAGGCTTATCCTGGGTCTATCTCTCTCCCGCATTTGCATGGGGGGGGGGGGAGGTGTAAAAATGCCGTAGCTAAATGGGGACACCTGGGAGGCATGGCTGAGTGGTGTTGGGGAAGGATAATTTGATGATCTGCACGTGCTTTTATTATTATTTCAGGTAGGAGGGAGAATAGAGAGAATCGCCTACAATATGCCAGTAGCATCGACTCATACGATTTTATTTCTACAAGGCAAAAAAAAAAAAGTGTTCTGGCAGGAAAAAATATATGGTAAACAAGAGCAAAACAAACAAAGTAAAATAATTACTTACTGTGTGTGAAATAAGCCCCACATTGGAGTAGTTCTTAAAATTAAAATAGGTCTTCCAAGGCAATTCATGAAACCTAAAGGACTTTCATTGTTAACAGCAAATATTTATTTGAAATACTGGCTCATTAGCTGAGAATTAAAACAATATGAAGTGAAATGGTAAACATGAGGAATCATGTATGGCAGTGTAAACAAGCACAAATGCTGGATGTGAACATCTTCTCCTCCCTCACTGAACTCTTCCAGCATTATATAATGTTGCCAAGCTGCAACTACTGTACATCCAGGGAGAATATATCGTGATGATGAGAACATAGTGATATTTATTAGAGTAAACTGGAGTTGTTACCTGACAAGTAGTTGTTACAGAGGTTCATCTGTTAGTTTCTCATCTAGCTTCTCAGTAAACAACTTACTAGGCTCTCAGTACAGATATATGATTCCCCAGAGTCACTTCTATGTTCTAGATCTTTGTGAAATGCTAATGGATTATAACCTACTATGTTCCCTGCTCTGTCTTTTAGCAATAGACATACAGGTACTGACAGCTCCTGTTTGTAAAAGGAGCATAGAGGAAAGAGATTTTGGGTAGTTTTCCACATAACTTGACTACAGGTACTTCAAATGCAGCCTGCGGTACCAGGGTTATAGGATGAGGTGTGACCCACACCCCATTGAAAGGAGCAGAAATCTTTCCATTGACTTCAGTGGGCTTTAGATCAAGCCCATTTGCACCCACGGCTGACATTAATATACTCCAAGATTAAAGTGGCAATACCATTATTTTTCAAAGCAAAGCAGGATCTCGAGTAGGAATTCCATTGTCCCTTTCCTAGGGAAGAAATGAAAGGTATTAGGACTCTCTCACGGGTGTCCTCTCAGATAATTGGTCAGAGGAATCCTAGGGCTTTTTCTGCTCTTACTGGGAAAGTAATGGCAAAACTCTTATTGAAGGAGCCTGTTCAAATCACCAGGTTACAAATCCTAGCCAGTTTCTATCCACTAACTTCTAACTGCCAAGTGCTGAGCACCTCAGTCTATTCACTCTTAATGCACTGGGAGCGGAGGATAGAGAGAGTATTGGGTACAAACTTAAGGCCTGATTCTGCACAATTGAAATCAATTGAAGTATACTTTGACCATTTGTTTTTCACACTGAAATTATTATCAAGTTGATTTCTCTTTAGTTCTTTCATTCTCCCACCTGGACCCAGGCCTTGATCCTGGATTCACGCCCTCAATGCAAGCACAGGAGTCCCCCCATATGGATACAGTTGCAGGACTACGGCTTTTGTGTGGTAGGTAGTATACTTCTTTCTCAAGGTACTGAGTATTGACAAATAGTCTCATTTTAATGGGAAGCTGGATCCAGGTTAAATCATAGCTTTGTTTATTAAGGATAAAAATATTTCCTCATCTTTTTCAAAGCTATTGCCATGCTCTGATTTCTTTGAATGAGAAGTTGTATCTCTTCATAAATTCCTTCATGGGAAAGGAGTAACCAAGTAATGCTGGAGAAGAAATTTAGCCTTTTGTGATTCTGCCATTGCCACATAATGTACCCTTTGCAAAACCTGGCTGCTGAGCCATTCTGCTCAAGCAGGAAATAGTTGTAGTGTTTCTGAGATGAATTCCAGAATATTTTCACACGATACAGCCTGCCAACAGTATTAGTCCATACAGTAAAAATATGGGTAGAGCTTTAAAAAATGGAAAAATATAGAAATGTGTACAATTGAAGAGACCAATACAAATGGGTAACGTTTAAAAGAGCAATAGAAACAGGTCAAAGTTAAAAAGCAGGTAGAGGCGAAAGAGAATAGAAGGGGGCAAAGGTTTAAAAAGTAGAAACCGGGAGTGGTTTTATATTTCATCAAATACGGTTTAAACATTCAATTGCATATACTGTTAAACTAAGACTGCAGTCCTGAAAAACACTTATGCCAGCGGTTCTCAAACTGTCGGTTGCGACCCCAAAGTGGGTCGTGGTCCCATTTTAATGGCTTAGACTTGCTGGAGCTCAGGGCTGAAGCCTGAACCCCACTGTCCAGGGCTGAAGCCAAAGCCCGAGGGATTCAGCCCTGGGCAGCGGGGCTCAGGTTACAGGCCCCCTGGCTTGGGCTGACCCCTACATTGTCCAGGGCTGTGGGGCTCAGGCTTTGACTCCCTAACCCGGGGCAGTGGGAATCAGGCAGACTCAGGCTTCAGTCTCCCTCCTGGGGATGTGTAGTAATTTTTGTTGTCAGAAGGGGGCCGCAGTGCAACGAAGTTTGAGAACCCCTGATTTATGCACATGGTAAGTGTGCATACAGTCCCGCTTATTTCAGTGGAACTACTCATATGTATAGTTAGGGACATAAATAGTGCCTAAAAGAAAGGCCTAAGTGAGTCCAATCTGTATAGGAGGATGTCTGAGCCTGATTTCAGTGGGGGCCTGAATGGGTACAAGGGTCTGTTCACTTACATCCAATTTCAGAATTGGGGCCTAAATGCATAATCCTGAAACTGTTACCTATACCCTTCCTCCTACTGTTTATGACACTCACTAGTTACATCTTGTCTTAACCTAGGCTCTGATCCTACAATTGGATTCACTAGAGTTGATGCCTGCTGCTATGTGGTACCTCACCAGAGTCAATAGGGCTCCACATGGGTGCAGAGATCTGTGCTCATGGATAAGGTTGTGGGATCACAGGTCTAGATTGTGAACTCTCCAAGGCAAGGGCTGTACCTTCTTTTGTGTTTGTAAAGTGCCTAGCACACAGGGCCCAGTCCAGATCGTGGGTTCTGGGTGTAGCTGGAATAAAATAATAATAGAAGGCTAATATTTGAATCTGAGAAAGAGCGCTGGTTTCTTAGTATACACTTGTGGCATTGTTATTTTTCCAAGGTATATTGAACATCTTTAAATCTGAAGTATTAGGTTTCTATTTGCAGCAAGTTATAGAAGTTCTAGTGACTTCTGGTAAGACAGAAAATAAAGTAAAATATAATAAATTATTGTTACAAATGTCTTCAGTTTGGGGAAGGAGGGTTGCATGCTGTATTAGAGCTTTGATTTATACAGAGCATATTTTATTTTTCACTGGATTTTAAGGGGGGAGGGGGAAAAGATTGAACAATCCACAGTAAACTTCAAATTTCTACCGGGGCGGGGGGGGAGGGGGAGGAGGAGATAGAGATGGAGATCCCCCGCCCCAGTAGAGATGTAGCATATTTACAGATCTTTGCCAAACAGTAGAATGACATACCAAGGCAAATTCAGATTTTAAATTAAATGGCTTTGCACTATGATTAATGGGTCTGATCCTGAGAAGTGCTCTGCCATATCAGGCCAAGATTCAGCAAGGAACTTCTACCACATGCCTGAAGTCAATAGGACTACTTACATATGTTAAGTTAGGCAGACAAGGTGGGTGAGGTAATACCTTTTATAGGGCCAACTTGTGCTGGTGAGAGAGACAAGCTTTCTAGCTCCCACAGAGCTCTTCTAAGGGAAAATCTAATTCCAGCAGAAAACTTCAATACAATTATAGATTCTCCAAAAGATGCAGTAAATCTCTTCAGTCCAACTCTCCAAGCAGATGTTTGAGTAAATAATAAAGACATTGGCCTTCTGGATAAATGGAGATAGATGCACTGCACAGAATCTTGATTTTTTTCCTTTCTGACTTTACCATGTGTACCAGTACCATATATAACCAACAACTGATGTATGTTCCAGCATGAATAATGTGTTAAAGTGACTGTAAAAATCTCAACAGATGTGTTTGTTTTGAGTATTCAGAGTAATATCTGCTGACTTTGGTAACAAAAATCCTTTAACTTTTTTTTTCTAAAAATACCCAAAACCAAACTTCTGCGAAGCCCGCAGAATCAATACAGCTAAGTTTACATGAACTGCAGATTCCATTCCATTTTGTGCATCATCAACAGAATGGGTTACTTAGTCCCAGTTGGTTTATGTCTGCAATGGATTTGCACAGATAATGAAATTCCATAAGTGTTACTGAGGGCATTTATATATAGCTGAGGTCCTATTTGGCTGGCAGTACCATTACTATTGGTGCCTGTGCAGGAGGGGAAGACACCCTATTTTGACTCTCAGAGCCTAGACTGGGTTCGCAGGCCTTGCAAT